GAAGCAGAAGCACTTTTTGAAATCGCCGTTACCAAATGTCATACGCCTCAAGGTAGCACACTCCTTGTAACTGTACTTTCTAGCAAGGAATAAGAATATATATTTTATAATGTTTTACTTTTTTTGCTCTGGCAGAAATGTAATGTAATGTCTTTTAACAGAACTGCAACTTTTTTCTGCACTTTTCTGGAACAGATGCTGATTATTCTAGAAAATTCAGTTAATGGACATTATATACTGGATACGGTTTGTCTTTCGATAATTTTGTCTCTTCTTTCTATAGCCAAGAAATATATTTGCTTTCTAGAAACTATTATCAGTTAGTGTTTTCATATATTAGTTCAAACAAATGGAAATTATATTTTGATTATTGATTCTTACTTCTTGATACACATTTATGAAAAGTAGTTCGTAAAGCGATAGCAGAGATTTCTTTATCTATAGTTTGAAGAAAAGATAGCCTATTTTTTTATCGATAGTTGTTTGTCAAAACAGCAGCATAGATTTTTTTATCGATAGTTTATAAAAGCGATAGTATATCTTCTTTAATGTCTGAATTGATTTTCAATAAATGTCAGTGGAACATTTGGAGTTTTAAATGAAAATCATTCAAATATTTTATCATTTTATGGGAATATAAATTTTCACCTTGTAATATCAAGTTAAAAGATTTCTAACTACGTCTTGATGTCCAGAGTAAATGCATAATCCAATCACTGCCAGTGAGTTCAAGTTAGATTATGTTATTTGGAGTTGGCAAAGCACACGAGGACTATCTTTTTAAGGAAAGGGATACCTTCGTCACATTGAGGAAAACCACGAGAAGCACATAAACATCAACCGCCTGGGTTTGGAAACGAGCTGAACTTTCAATATTGAGCTTCCATAGCCACTCTGCCTTTGTTGAGATAATCAAAAGCAAAGTAATAACTCATCTTAAGATAAAGCCATGTCAAACACCAACACGGATGGAACTAAATTTTCTGCCTCAAAATACAAATGAAGTAGTACAAAGTAATTCCTCTTTAAAAAATTGAAATGCTCTTCTCTACATTACATAAGTCATATGAAAATCATTTAAAAACAGTGTACATCAAATGCTTTTTGATGAAAGTTTAATTTATTTCTGGCATATTCTTCTTACAGTCCTTCTATGCAGTTTTACTGCTTCTCAAACTTACGTCCCACACACGCCACTCTTTGTAGTATCTCACTTTCTTCCAGTTTCCGGATGCTTCAGGAAATTCTGAGAAACTTTTCCAGAGTTTTCAATGCCTTCCAAAGCCCATGTCTTAATGCCAATACCAATGCTTTCAATGCCAAAGAAACCTTTAAATATATGAAAAAGCGTAAATCTAATGAACTCGTATCTGGAAGGAGCAGCGGGTGCACAACATTTCCCACTTATACTTGATGAGTAAATCAATTCTGAATCTTCTTAAGGGCCATTCTTTGTGTTCTTGTTTTTTACCGTTGCATGAAGTTCGATAATATTCTTCAAGTCGCTGAACACTGTTAATTCAATCCGGATTCGATTCCTGGCCAGTGGTTAGCTATTTGGGCATTTTCGAGGTTTCCGTGTGTAACGGGGATACGAGCCAATATGCATTCGAAGATCCTCCACGAAGGCATCCCTTACCTTTAGCGAGATAACCCTCACGTACTTTGCCGTAATCAAACAAACCAAACAAAACCATCTTCAAGAAATCAGCAACAAATTTCACACTTCGCTCGTCTGTGATATCTCTGGTCTTCTTGTCTTCATTATCTTTCAAACTGATATTTTCTTCACGAAAATAAGTAACCCAGTGAAACTCTGTATTGCAGTGCAATGCCTGTTAATAACAAATATAACTCGACGCACTTTGACGGTACTTACGTATTAACGCAACCACCTTAGAGGAAGTCGCCAAATTTTCATAATATAATATTTCATAAGTTCTGGCAACCAGCTGCATAAACATTCTTCCAGCAACCATGCTCACAACGATCCTTCAGTCTAGCTTCTCCGCTATCTTTTATGCGTTTTTTTTTTTTTTTTTTTTTTTTTTTTTTTTTTTTTTTTTTTGTTGTTGTTGTTGTTGTTGTTGTAGTTCAAGTTTCAGTGGTTTTTATAAACAAATCATATGATAATTATTGCCTTAACTTTAAATATGAGCCTGCGGATTATGCCAGCAGTGGAAGAAACTGCGATAAAATTTCTCCAAGAATACAGAATATTGCTGAAAATTTTCTAAACGGAACTACGAGGAAATGCTTTTCCCAGATATCTGCTTTTGCCAAGGGCTGCACAAAGTTGAGTCATCCTCTGATATTTTTTAAGTGAAAACAGATCGCTGTGTACTTCGGGAAAAGAATAGCACAAAAAAATTACAGAAAGATTTGAAAAAAACTATAAGTGTTTTATTTTTTTAATGTATCGCGTAATCCTTATTTAGTAATATAATCCTTATAATTTGAAATTATAAGACATTATTTGAATGGCATCAGTGTACTAATAACATAGTAAAAAATAATATAAAATGACTTCAAACTTCGATTAGCGAACTGTAGCTTATTTATTGTAGAGCCTAACTTACTGTGCTTGTTCGCTAATAGCTCAACCACTACTATAGCTATCGTCACCAAACTTTCTATCGTTCTTTTCTGGGTCCTGGGAAAGGTCGAAGTCCACTTTCCTTCAAAAAACAAAAAGTATAAACCAGAGATATTAATTAAAAAATCTGATGTGTACACCACATGACTTCCTTGCACGTAATATTAAACTATACGCATTTTTTCTTGAATTTCATTTAAATTGATTGGATTCAATTAAATCTACTTCGTCGACAGAGCATAAACCACAATAGAATAAATTCACTCATTAAAATTCACTATATTTGTTTACTATAACGACACACTGAGTGCAGAAAATTTATATCATTTGAAGAATTATCGTTGCCTCATGTTCTATTCAAATACTATAATAAAGTTAAAACGATGTATGAAAGAAATTAAGCAAACAAAACAGAAAAGAAACAGTTTTTCACATACGATTGAGTATTTCTCATTTAATTAATTCAGTCTCACTTCGCGACAAGGCAAAAATACGTAAAAACTCAAAATATCTGCATTAAAAATTACGAAGTAAATCTTAAACACTTACTTCCTCGAAAAAATTCCAGAAAGGATTAAGCATGACTTAATTCGCAATAATAAATGAAGGCGTTATTTTTGTGTTGCGAAGCTTAGTCTCTCTAGATTGGCATCAAATCTACAATTCTGCTGTTTCAAATGTAAACAAATGTGTCCGCCATGTTATTTAAAACTTAACCGCACTTAAACAGCTTTTAAATTGTTGATAATTATACAAATATTGCTTCCAGAATTACGAAAGGCATAAAAACCTTAACCGGAAAATAAGAACAACATAATTCAATCATTTTTAAAGCAAAAATGTACAATTTACAAACATATAAGAGTAAAGATACTGAGATCACTGAGCCTAACAGAGTGGATATATATATAAATATATTTATATACGTTTGGTGCTCCCGATTGCAACCAAAATACGAGGTGCACATCTACATGTTATAGCAGTCCTATATACAAAATTTCAACGTTCTGAGTCTACTCGTTTTTGAGTTATGCGAGATACGTACGTACGCACGTACCTACATACGTTCGTACAGACGCCACGAAAAATTCTCTTCAGAATTAATTTTAAAGCAGTTTTATAATTTTTTTGGAGGAAAGGTGTCTTTTATTCTGTCCTTACGCACAGATATCAAGCAAAAACATCGTTAAATTGCATTCGATAGCGGTCAAAATGGATATTTTCGTTGAAATATGCGGCCTGAAACTTTTCGCGATTACAATACTTCCTTTTTACTTCGTCCAAGGAAGTAAAAACTAAGAAAAACGATCATTTTCGCCCTCATTTTTCCTAGTGGCAACAGTCTCGCAAGCTGGACATGAAAGTCTTTTTTTATTTCGAAAGTTGTTGCCACTGCTCGATTTCAAATCCTAGAGTTTGTTAATAAAAAAATTCTAAATATTACAATGAAATAGCAATAGCATTGCCAAACATTAAATACATTATTCCCGATCCGAAAAATTCGTGGGTAGCCATTTCAATTGCGTACGACTTTAAACAGCCGAGATATTAATTAAAAATTCTGAAAGCGCTACTTTTCGCACTCATTTTTTCCGAGTGGCAGCAGTCTCGCGCGTTGGAGACAAAAATGCTTTATTTCGAAAAGTATTGCTATTGCTGGCTTTCAAATCGTAGAGTTTGTTAATAAAAAAATTGTAAGTTTAAATCTATATATATAAAGAAGAACGTCTGTGTGCTTCTTTGTTCGCGTTAATGATTTCTGATCAATTATAATCAATTTCTTGCCACATTTAATCGACTAAAATTGAATATAGATGAAATATTGGATGGAATTTGAACTTTTACGACCATTTGATTAGAAAGACGAAAATCATTAAAAACTGCGTGCCATTGTTGCTGATATAATGAGAGAGAATTAATTAATTTTTCTATCGAAGTTTTATATGTGTGTTCCATATTGCATCAGACTGAAATCGTATTATTATAGAAGGATTTCAGCGGTATCGTTCTCTCTGTTGTTAGATGCACTACCCCCAATCTAACTTAACTGCCATCGGGTACCTCCGCTAGTAAGTACATAAAATAAGTAAATGGTGAAAAAGTAACAAGTGAAGATGAAAAATAAGTATGTGCAGTTGAGATTGAAGTTCTTGTTATGCGAGCACACAAGCAGCAATCCCATTGGTCATTGTTGCTCAATCACAATATTTTTGTATATGTTAGAAAAACAACTAAACATTCAAGTCCTTATCCTGCTTGAACATGTGAGTAAAGTCCAAGAATCCTGCTTTAGCAGGAAAGTAAAATAAATAGTAAATAAACTAATTAGTAAAAAAATTGACAAAACTATGTACAGTTTCAGTTCCATATTTTTAAAAATTATTCTCAAATACTTATATCTTACTTTCAGCCAGCGATCACCTGGATAAAATAAGGAAGAACAGCTATTGGTTGCCGTACTTGCGCTCTCGTCAGCAGACGATACACAGGCACGCTTTCGACCACATTCCAACTTTTTGCTCAAGAATGGTCTCTTCTTTGATTTTGGCGTGTCAGATATAAAGGTTTCGGGAGGCGTGGCATAAGCAGATTTCTCAGAATATGAAACCGAGCTAGTTTTATGCAGCCTCTTGATCTTGATGCCAAATATTTTTAGTCCTTCATGCAATATTTTCAAGTAATGTCTCCAGGAGAAAGTATTTCGACTGTTGGCATTCACGACATTGAAATAACGCTCATATCGAGAGACGTCACTACAGCTACCAGCTCGTCGAACTTTGGGGACAAAATTCGGCAGAAAACGAAACTTTTCCTCCAAACCGTAAGGCCAGCTGGCTGTTGTTTTATAATCTGGATCTGGCTCGTAATCAATACTGCGAAATATCTCGCTTGATAACTTCTGTGGAAGAAAGGAAAAAAAAACTAGAATGTGAAACAAATATGTATTGGAAAAGAAATATAATTCTATTCTTTCTCCATTATTGTTTCTTAAAAATAGTTTTTATTTTCATTTGTAATACCTCTGGTAAAGGATGGTGTAATTAATACCTTATGGAAATGGTTTATCTGATAATAAACGTTTTTATTCTTCTTTTACTAACAGAAGCTAAGAAATTTTGGTACTTTTCCGTTTGGCCGGCGCAAATCTTGCCAAGCAGACTTTATTGGCGACAACATACAGTATACACATAAAAAATATTTTAAAAAAATGTTAGTTCTAAGAATTCTTTTTTGAAGTTCAATGTTTTTTCCTTGCTTTCTTTTAAAAAAATAAACATTTTAATATCGCTTAAAATTTTATAAAAAGCCAATAAATAAAGACAAAAAATTTGTAAAAAGACATTAATTTAAGAATTTACTATGCTTTCATGGTTCAAATCCTGATTCGCGGGTTCATATCACGTGACCCCAAGCGATCTCATCTCACGTAAACTACTCTACAAAAATCTAATGCTTCAGTAATTATCTACATAATTTCAAGTTAAATCTTAATTGGAACGCAAGTTTAAATACAAGAAATATTTCAATTCGTACGAATAGCTTACTCAGAAATTATGTAAAACCGCAGTGCTTTACTTCGCTAATGCATTCTCATTAGAATGATGAATTTAACCCTTGACTTTACCTTTTCTATATTTTCGGCTTCGGGTAAGCGCTGTGATTGCATCCTGATTGACTTAATTACCGAAAATGGCCTTAGACATAAAACTGAACTATCTGATAAAAATTCTATGTAATTATATGCCACTATTGAAGAAACAATCAATCTGATAAGAAAAAGCTGCGACTTGTTTTGAAAATGAGGCGTAAAAGGTTACCAGCGAGAATATTCCGTTTGGCATCGGTTGTACCATTATTGGCGACTTTATCGCTTGCGCCGGCAAAACGGAAAAGTACCGAAATTTTTTGCTGTTTATGCACGCGTAAATTTACAAATATTTTTATTTCCATTGGATTTTCTATATATATTTAACCATATAGGCTTTAAATTGAAACATATACCGCATTTATTTAATTAATCTTTGCTATCTTTACTCTTCAAACGTACATATACTGCTCAAATACTCGTATATATACTAGAAGTTTTACATGCTTAAATATTCGTAACTTATTCAAACATCTAAAATTTAGGTATTTTATCACTCTAAATGTGTGTGTGTGTGTAATATTAACACAATTCTGGAAACATTGAAGTAAGAACACGATACATAGAAGTACTTCACATTTTTTTTACAATAAAAAATGCTTTATATAAATATTCAAGCCATGTTCCTCTTTTGAATTAGAGAACTTCAGAAATGTGCATACTTCTTCTTCCAAGCAATTTTATGTTAAAAGTTCTGCTCCCATCTCTTTGTACAGTTTGTATGCTTTACATGCAGTTTATAATTTGTTTAATCCCATGTGCAAAAAATAAAATGCAAAATTCAATTTATGGTTTGCTGCATTTGTAGAAGCAACTCAGAAAGATGAAGTTCCCAAATTAAATAAAAATAAGAGAAGTTATAGCCAATTAAATTCAGAAGTTTGGTTTCATATTTTTTATCTTACACACACCCCCTTTCAAAAGAAAAAAGGCGGAGCGATAGAGAAGCCTTTTTGAGTTAAGCATTACAGTAGCAAAATATGAGAAATATAATTTTGAAACACACAAAACATAATATTAGCTTTTGAACAATAAAATTATAATATGTAAAATTTTGAATTCAAAAATAATTTTAAGCTCCATATTGTTTTAAAAAATTGCACATTTTTAAAGTCCTCTTAAGATTTGAGTCCAATCTGTAATAAGTTCTTGTTTCTGGGTCATTCACATTGATACTTCAGGGAAGGATTTTCAAAACTTTTTGCACACAATATCACAATTCTAAAAATTTTATATATCCATTAATTATTACGAATAATCACAAATCTTAAAATCTTCCACCATACTAATTTTCACGTTTATAAGTAATATTTTATCATTTGTAATAACATGATTAAAATTATGGTTTTTACTTTTATTATTACATTTTACAATTTTCGTATTTTACACAAACTAGAAGACCCCACAGCTTTCTCGTAGTGCACACGTATCCAGCTATTCGTGCATATCCACTTTAAACTGACTCATGTATTAAAATTTTCATGAGTGGTTATATGAATTGCACTACACATTTCATTTATAAAAAAATTACACTCCATTATATGAAAAAAATAAAAATCCTGTATGAAAATTTCAAATTTTATATTACATGAGGGTAAAAGGAACAATTACGCCAGAGGTAAAATAGGCCTCTGTTTCTGAACCACTACTCCCTCAACATACTTTATATTAAACATACGATTATTGATAATTACAACATTCATTTACCATAATTCCAAACAAATTTTAACACATTTTATTCTTAATTATATTCTCATATAAATTTTATTACCATTATTCAGTTTTTTTAAATCTTTAGTATTTGTATATTAATTTTAACAATATTTAATATTCTCGCATTTAACAATTATTTCATTTATATTTATATTTCATTCTCAAAGTAATTAGAAAATTCTTAAAATTCAAACTTTTAAACAATAATCTTATTTACAAAATAATTGCACCATTCTTATCCTGTCATATATATATATAACCTACATTTTTCCTTGTATTTACATGCTTGCACTTCAATTACTTATGTTTTCTGAATTTAATGATATTGCAAATTGGTTCCCAGTAATAATTAACAAGGTATTTGTTTGCAATTGAATTTATAATTGAATTTAATAATTTAATATTTAATTTTCTTATATGTATATATATCATACGTATTGTGTTTTTAAGTTTTGAATTACAGTTGGATCTTTACTTTGTGTTTATACTATTTTGCAAAGGAACTTTAAAATTTTGCAAAGGAAAAGTATCACTTTAGCTCATAGGCTATAGCTTGAAGAATTAGAATTTACTTTTCAATTTTATTTCAAATTTTGCAGCTCAATGCGCAAAATTCTTGACCTCACAGATAGCAATCCCATATACAAACTTCCAACATTCTGCGACTAACACTTTTTAAGTTATGCAAGATACATACATGAGTACATATAGATGTCTCGAAAACGTTCTTCTGAATCCATTTCAAATCCATTTTACAATTCATTTTTGAAAAAACGAGTTCTTTATTCTGTCCTTACTTAGAGATGTCACGCAAAAAAAATTGTTCAAACTGATTCCAACGCGGTCGAATTCGATATTTATTTTGAAATGTGATACCTGAAATTTTAGCATACTTCCTTTTCTTTGTACACAGAAGTAAAAACTGAGCTTTATCTTAAAATTTCATAATTTTCATCCATTACAGAGAATTTAAGCAGTAATGAATTTTTAACGAAAGCGAATTTTTAAAACAAAAGACACTCAGTTACAAATTTCTAGATAATTACCTCCGAGTTTAGCTTTATTAAGCTGTTCTTTCTCTATTTATATGAAAGTAAAATTTCTTAAAAAGAGAAAACAAAAGGAAAAAAATAACTACTTACACTTTTAGGAGCCATAATAATTTAGAAAGAATTCTTGTTTCATTTAAATTTTCAACTAACTGTAATTGTGGAGTTGAGATGTAATTTAAATGCACGTTTGACTTAAAAGAAATTAATAATAACTAATAAATGTATTGTTTGATCATCGGCCAATTTAAAATTAAATTCTGATTCGTCTTTAAAAGAATTTAAATAATTAGTTATTCAAGCAATTTAAAACTAATATATTTTATAAGTTTGTGATATTTTTATACATTAAAATTTTATCGAAAATCTACTAAAATCTGAAAATTTCAAATTGCAGTCTAACACAATGCTTGAGCACGAGGCTTTAAAAAAAATATTTCTGTTAAATGGCAAAATGCAAATTACACGCTGAAAACAATAGGCATTTCGAAGTAAGATGTTTGAGATGTTTTAAAAGAGTTCTCATTTCTGTTATAATACAGATAATTTTGTATCTGCACATCGCCGAATATATTCAGGCCTTTGTTAGATGAAATTTTATACACAATCTAGTTTGATTATTTGATGCATATTGCGACCAAAACATTAGACTCAATTATCTAACATCGATTGCTTTTTAATTTAAAAATCTGATGTGGACATTGTAACATTTAATATTTAGTAATTTGTAAATGGCAATATTTAATATTTAGTAACCTGTGATTGGCAATACTTTTCGATACATATAAAAATAGAATTATGCTGATATTGCAGTTTTCTGTAACATATAATATGCTATGCTTATAAATAAATAGTTTAAAAAGTTAAAAGTGAGCCCTCATTATTTTCTGGATACTATATGATTTCTTTGTAAGTCCTATTAAATTATAAACATTTATGGCTGCACTTCATTCAAATGTATTTCTTCGAATTATTCTAGCTTAATTAAGCGATCCCCCAAGGCAAGTTGAATATGACATAAAAAATCACAATTCTTTTTTAAATTATACATCTTGTTTAGTTTTTCTAGTACGGGAGTTAAACTTCTTAAAATTTTATTTTTTCATCACGAGTATAATACTTTCCCAAATTTAAGCATAGGAAAAAGGAGACCGCATTAAAAGTTAGAATCCGCTATGTGTCGAAAGGTAATTTTTTTTTATTTTGAAATTGCTTCAACATGAATAGTTTCGTCATTTAAATTACTTCTGGAACTAAAAGTGGTACTATTCCGTTTTGAGGACCGTAAAAAATCGCCAAACTATTGGTGATGCCAGTGCTGCCAAAAATAATTGCGGCAACCCTAACGCAAGAAAGGAAGTATAATAGTAAATAACTATCTAAAGATTATTGTTTTAATTATATGAAAGGTTAATTCATATAATACTTTTATTATTATAATTATATAAAAAGACTAAACATAACTGAATGGAATCATAAGAGTAAATAACTATTTCAGATCATTATTATAATTTATACAAAAAAAGGCTAAACATAATGGATATGGATTCCTGCATCGCTATTGCGCTACCGAATTATCGCTAAAGCATAATTTCATCTCGACACCACGAAGCGGGGGGAAGGAAAAGCGGGAGAAATACCTTATAAACTTAATAATTAAATTCAATTCTTGCTCTACTTGTCCAGAGGCATGAAAAGAACAGATACTTGTCATGTTTGACTGCAACAGATTTTATGCGCTAATTTGCTTAATCTGAGTTGGAACTACGAAATAAATAAATGAAAACCCAAGGAAACCAAACAACTAAGCAATTGACTAAGAGAACGACTATTCAGGTAAACCGATATCTGAGCTATAGAATTCTAGAACTGCAGCCAACATCAGGCTGTGGGTTTAAACTTATTCAAGTAATAATCAACTCCGTGTTGATGAAATCAAAAATGTGGGAATAGAAGCCCACTTTCTTGAATCAGACTTTTTCAGACTAGAATTTTCAGACTTTCTTAATCAAGTCTAGGTCATCCTGGAGCTTCTAGAGATGTCATTGAGCTATCAAACCTTCTATAGAAGCTCCAAACGGAAACATAAAAGAAATATGTACATACATCTGTAAATAACTTATGGTAATTATCCATTGTAATTATTGTATTCATCCATTCAACTAATCGCCATCTATTAGCACCCGTGTAAAGTACCTGAGTCAATATTGTCTGCAATGCAAATTATATACCAGGTTTCACAACAATCTTGTTTGGGTTTCAAAATAGCTTAAGCAAGTTCCAGAATTTTAATCTCCTAAATAGCATAGAAAACTCTCTTGATTTAAACCTCTTTTGCGATAAGCAAATACGTAGGTTACTCTTAAATTCTTGAGATGTGCGCACTTATAGCTACAGAAAAGAATTAATGGTAAGATTTGAAAATATTAACTATTTTAGACTAGCAGATGATATTTTACTGGCCAGTTGCAAGTAGTTTAGCGTAGAACAAGTTTTAGGCAGCAGGAAAAATGGAGCTGACGCCAGATCATTATAGCGGTATGATTTTTCTATGATTTTAAAGCGAGATTAAATCAAGAAGAATGCGTTCAACGTCTACAGCCAGCATTTAGAAATTAAGCTCCATCTCCTGCTAGAGTATTCAGATGGTTTCCAGAATTTCACAGAGGTCCCAACTCTCTTTAGAATAATGTTGCGTGCGTATGGGTTCGTTATGAAATGAATGCACAAGTCCGATGAAAAATGAACAAAAATTTATTATTATCGCAACAAAAATGCTTACATTTTCTCAAATTATCACGCAGTATTACAATATCTCACAGTAGTTTTCTTTTAACTACTCAAATGTCCAATAGAACGTAATTCAAAACAGCTAAAGAACGCTAATATGCGAATTCGCTACAATCAACAAGAGCAGTTTTCTAAACAACAACAAACTAAACAAACTACTACAAACTGAGATGTTTTCCTCCTTTTATAAGATTTTTAAAATCACGCGCTAGAATTTTCCAGTACTTTCTCGAAATCAAAAAGAGATATTTATTTATTTAATGCACGCGCTCTTGCATTTTCAATTTTCCGGCTTAGCTTTCTTTTAATATTCGTCACGCGCTGCACTGCGCGAGAAATAAAACCATTTAATTTATAATTGAACAAACATTAGCTTTTTAAATACCAAATTCGTAACAATAAAGTACACACAGAAAGGCCACTCACTGTAAGCAGTAATCTCGGATAATGTGTCTGCTATATGGAAAATGTTAATTGATGATAATCGAAGCACCTATCAAATGAAAGAGAAGGAATTTAGCATTGGATCCGCTACCATGCATAAAATCATTCTTGAAGAATTGCATATGAAAAAACTAGTTTGCCTTTGGGTTTCCCATAATTTAACTGAAAACCAAAAATATGAGCATGTGAAAATCAATAAAGAAACCCTTAAATTGCTTAAAGATGGTGGCCACCGCGCTATTTCTAAAATCGTAACTGGCGATGAAAACATACCTCCACTTTTTGACGTTCCAACAAGAAAGTAAAGTATGGGTGTTTGCACTACGCCCACAAACAGACAGACAGAAAGAAGTACAGGAGGCACCAAAACATCGCCATGGACAAAGCTGTTATCGCTCCACTGCACTAACTATCTACAGAAGTGTACCCTGACCGGGCACGCTAACAACATGTTCGGGAATTTGTTTACATTGTAGCATTCATAATACACAGTTATATATTAATGGCACATAATTTGCATTGGAAACAATATTGACTCAGGTACTTTGCACGGGTGCTAGATCGCGATTAGTTGGATGGATAAATACAATAATTACAATGTCATGGTGTCATGGTGCATAATGATTATTACAATGTCTTCCGTGTCATGGTGCATAATGTTACTTGAACGAAACTTGTGCGGGGAAGAAAGAAAAAAAAGAACAGTTCTATATTCTACTGTACCTATTGACGATCTTCAAACTGCGCTTTTCATACCTCGAAAGCACGACTTAGGATATATATTTTATTTATATATAGCATTGTTCTAATATAGGTATTTTGACACAAAATTGTACTTGACAATTATTTTACATATTTCGATTCGACGACTCACATTATGCCTAAATATTCAATTTTGTACAATTTGGTTTGAAATTTACGGAGAAATTCAAAAATTTATCTTGGCCATTTTTTTCAGTTTGCGTCAAGAATAATTCACTTCGCGAACTTCTTAATTTACAGCAACCTTTTCTCCTTTCTTTTTTTTCGTTGCACACGAGCGAAAAAATCGTCATCGTTCATTACTTTCAAATAATTTTAACAAAGTGCACAAATCACATTTGGCGCTATTATTGCTTATAACAAATATGCCAAACTTCAAAACGGCCCAAAATGTAAATTCACGTATATCTTAGGAAATTTTGAATTAACAACTATAATTTTTTGCAGGTACGCTTAGAAATACATCTACTTAAAGCGATGGCAAACATTTGATAGGTTATAATTTAAATTCGTTTTCCAAAAATTTGTAAAAATGATTTTAAAATACAAATTTTAAAACTAAATCACAAAAAATGAGCGAATTTTATTTAGTATGTACCTAAATTTCGAAATGTGAAAGAAGGAATTAAATAAGTTTAATAAAAAAGTGATATTACTAAATATATACTAAATTCAATTAACGTGGAGGAGATAATTGTTTAAATACTACTCGTACGAGTTTAACAAAACTTGGCAGTTTGGCATAATTTGGGTCGTAGAATCGAAATGTGGAAAGAAATTCGCATTCATTTCAGAAAAAGTCCGATTTTGTGCCAAAATACGTATATTTTAACAATGCTATATATAAATCTAATACATATCTCAAGTTGCTCTTTCGAAACATGAAATACGCAAGTTGAATTTCGTCAATCGGCTCAGTAGAACGGGAGATAAAAGACTGTTCCCCCATGCCCCCCCCTTTTTTAGTCCAAAGGGATTTGAATCCCGAAGGACTATTAGTTTCGTTTTGGCATTTTGCGTCGGACTCATAAATGTCGGTTCACTTTTCAAACTGTTGCCACAAAATGTTAGAGTCCTGCATTATATTTGAAGAAATTAAATAATGAAAAATCTGCATAAATGTATGTATATTTCTCGTATTGTGATAAAACAAT